TTCAGAAGTGCCAAAATTAGGAGACCCTTTCTGTTTTGCAGCCATGAGTGAAACAAAATTTTAAAAAGGTCTCGAATTTCGGTTAGAAACAACACGTGAAAAACGGATGGTGCAACTCATTGAAACTTAAGTCGGACTTAAATTTCAAAGTATACTTAGGTAAGGACGTGCTTAGAAGAAGTTTGGTGCAAGTGGGCATTAGGAACCTTGAACGTTATTAGCAATTTGAATAAGTTAGTTTGTTGTCATTCGATTGGCTATCCTGGCAATGAACGGTGCGGCGGTGCCAAAAGTGCGGAAATCAACATAGATCTAGGAAAAGTGAAATTTCATCAATCTTACCCGCTAATTAAATAGCGATATTTCAGAATGAATTTGACAATTTGTTTTAAAATGAAATGTGCATTTATTTGGAAATTTTCTTTTAATTGTATTTACCTTAAAGGAATTTACCCCAACAGTACCGTTTTTAATGCATATTCCGTTTATTAAATTACTAAATTTTGAAAAATGAAGACCGGAAGACTTGATCAGGCAATAAGTAAGATATATTTAAAAAAAAATAATTTAAATAATTTTTCATAGAAATGTTTTCTGATGTACATTTCCTGATTCCGTAATTTGCGAGACTACATTTGACATCGCCGCCTTAGGCCGATTGTAATGTCAGTGCGGCCGCCATTGACGATTCAGTACTTAGTGGATTGCCCAATATCTGATATCGTGTTTAGGTGTTCGCGTCAAATCTGTGTGTATGTTGAGGAAACTTGTGCCATTTATCAAGTTGATGATGTTTATCGGAACTAACCAGTGAAAGAGTTTGAAGTTTCTGAAGGTAAGCTAAAGGTAGGTAGCTGAAGCTAAGTAGCATTTTAGGTATAAAGTGATTTAATTGTTGCAACATACGTCAGTAGTGAATTGAATGTTCATCCGCACTCACCAGAGTCTAGTTTCGTTTGAAAAGCTGTTGGGCCCAAGTAGATTTAAGTGATTTGCCCAATCTCAAGCGTTTAACAAAGCAATCGCTCAATTTCGTTTCTTTAATGTAATAATAATAATAATACATTCTTATGACGCGTTATTGATATTAGCCACGAGTTATCAGTACATACACTTGGCAACATCAGATGCTCTAACTTGTTGGTAACCTCAAATTTCTGTTGCGTAGACCATATGCAGTGAGGTTGCCATTTGTTTGTATTAATCGACCTCGTTATAGTCACACACAATTTGTTATTATTATAATAACAGTAAATGTTAATGTCATTAATGAAAAGTGTTTATAATTTTCAGTTTTGTGGTGAATGAACGCGCTTCAAAATGACCACGCCGGAAGAAATTAAGACCGAATATACGTCGAGTTTGGCCGATTTGACTTTCAATAGCAAACCGTTGATAAATGTATTAACAATGTTGGCCGAAGAAAACCTGCCGAATGCGAAAACAATAGTGGAAGCTATTGAAGAACATCTCTATAAGGTCAATATTTATTTGTTACTCCAGTATTCTTAGTTTAGACGCCTACATAATTATTCTTATGGGGCCAATTATAAGCTACACTCAACTATAAATTGAATAACTTGGGCACTTTCAGTTAATACTAACTGTTTTTGATACTGCTTGCTCCATCCACAATACCGTAAATTCATTGGGGTCTTACCGCGTTAGACCACTTTTTAATCTGTATAGTTGTCAATTAAATCTATCTAATAGGCATGTCCTGATTCCTTATAATACTATGTACTAGAATAAGCTCTTGGTTATCTGGCAAAGTTTGAAAGCCAAACTCAAAAATGAAACTTACTAGACACAGTGAAGAAAATATAGTCATAAAACCGAAGTCATTTGAAAACTGTGTTAAGAAATTATTTTTTTAACGTTTCATCAATTTTACCACTTTGTAATATGAAGTGAATGTGTGTTTTTGAGTTAAAGGGTTTGGCTTGCAAACCCTTTAAATAAGATCATATTTATCTATTTCGAATCAATTTCGTTTTATCTGCTTCGAACTTGTTTCAAATAGACTTTCAAACATTGATTTTGAATAAAGCTCAAAATGATTGATGCTCAAAACCTTGTTACCTGGCTAGAAATTGAATCACTGGAGCTTCCAATTTTGGCAAACAGTCAATTCTCTGTATTTTCTCCTCAACCCCATTCATTCGTGTATGAGTTGCAATTACCAAAGTTTCAAATCCGTGTGAAAATCGAAAAAATACAATTTCAATTCCATTGCTTAACAGTCATTAATTGATTCCAGGAAACCTTTTGATAAAAACTGCTTCTGTTTCAAAGTTTGCCTTTTTAATTGGGATTCAAATGTAATTTTCCGTTCGAACTTCTTTTTACCAATTTCTCTGTAAGTTTTGAAATTTCTTGCCAATGAAATGTAAGATAATAATTACTAATTCCACCCGGTACCATTAGGGGCATGTGACTTTCATTTCAATCTTCATGTTCATTAAATGTATGTTTTACAACTTTTTTGAGTACTAAATCCCTTTTCCGATAAATTGTAATAGTGCACGGCTACCTTCATAAACATATTTCCGAGCAAGTCTTTCATTATGTTTTTATTATCTACCACGATTTCGAGCAGTGTTTTCCATAGTTTCACATTGTTTAATTGTTAAAAATTCTTGATCATTTCTGCATTATATTCTGCGGGTTTTTTCAAGTCGTCATTTAAAGTTAACTAGAACTTAAGGTTTTGGCAGGGTATTTCCAGATGAGCACACATTTGTTTTTGGGGCGGTTGACTAAGTTATACTTTGGTATTTTGTCACTTGTCAACATTTGATTCGAAAACAGCCATCAAATTTTATCTAAGATCTTTTTCCAATTTAATCAATTGTAATTATACATATAAATGTTTCATACAAAACGTAGGTTTTATCCAACTCTAATCAAAGCAAACTAGTATATATGTTACTGGCAATGTACAAAATGCGGAAATCTGCACAATGTCTAAACATTCCGCAAACTAACTGATCAAAACCCGACAGGCACTTTACAGAATCACTACTGCTTTGGAAAATCTGCACATTGACTACGGTGCTTTAGGCAATCTGCAAAATGCCGTACGTGCTAGTCAATCTGAGTGTTTAAAATTTTTACTCTTCACATTGACTTGGCAGTGTGCATAAAGCTGATGCTACGAAACTTTGCTACTTACTTTAGTGTCATTTGGTAATTGCGAGCGAAAAGAAAAAACTGGTGAAATTTAATCTATAATGCAGTGTACAAATATTTTTCACTTATTGTAAAATTATTTCGTTTAAATTAGGTTAATTAAAATTAACATATCTCTTATCAACAATAATAACCTAAATACAAAACACAAGTCATTACCTCGATAATAATGTGAAAGATATTTTGATTTTTGCGTATATTAATAGAACTAGGCTCAGTTCGTGTTAATGTATGTTTTCTCATTGTTAAAAATTGCCGTTTTTTACACTGCATTATAAACCTGAATACCAAATTGCTTCAAAACAACATATCCACAAGACGCTATTAGGACTAATAATCAAAAGGTCACACATTTGCTAACAGAGTAATTTTTACAAAGTGGTTGTAATCTGTAATACAAAACAACAAAATTTGCTTGTAAAGAACTAAACAGCAAAGTTCCGTTGCAATAGTAAAAGCAACGGTATCCGGTTTCATGCCCACTGTCTGTCAATATGAAGATTAACCTGATCTGATCAGATTGACTAGCGCATACGGCATTCTGCAGATTGTCTAAAATACCGTGCCGTCAATGGATTACCCAAAGTAGCAATGATTCTGCCAATGGCCTGGCGAGTTTGTCACTTTGCAGAATGCTTGATTTCGATGATACATTGCCTGTAACATATATGTATACATGGCATTTATCATACAATGTACATGGAATTTAGACTATCAAAAATCAATCTCATCATAATTTTTAAATTTGATTGTTAACTTTAGAATGTTTGACGCCACAAGTTACATTTAGAATTATATTAAAATTATTTTTTGTAACGACCAAATACATACTCTATTAGTTAGTCACTTTTCAAAAAATTTCTGTTCAATAACTAAAACAATTTCCAATAGTTAACTGGCCTAATGTGGCTGTAGCTCTCAATTTAGTCTGCTTTTACAAGTTCTTCTTATATCAAAATTGGTAATTTAATTAATACGTGGCTATTTTATTTTAACTAGTTTCATTCAGTGTGGCTTGACTTAATCTATAAACTTTGGTTAAAATTTGAAAATCTAAATACTAACTTCAAAATTAATTGATCGACTAATAGTTTAATTAGCAACATAGTACGTTCGATAGAGTTTATGGCGAGGCTAGATGGTTGTCAAAAAAGGAAACTAGATATGTCTCCATTTGAGTTATTTTTCTGTTTTTTCTAGATTGAGAACTCTCTTAAATAATTTTATAAATATCGCAATTGATTTATTCAGATGCGTTTCACGTTTTTAATAATGTTCACGTTTTCTTTCGACGGTGGACTTGTCAGAAAACCAGTTTATATACTTTTCAAGTCATGCAAAGCAAGTTGCATCTATTCCTTAACGTTGAATATCTTGAGTCTGTCATCTATGAGCTTATGAGCTTTTCGGTGCTAAAAAAACTACATGACATTTTCTTAAAATTTTGTAGATCCATCTAAACCACCCTGGTTTAAAACCATTTCTATATAAATATTTTTAAGATTATTTCCAAGTGGAAAATATTAGACGTTGAGTGGAGCATTAAATTGGCCTTGTAAATAGTTGATTATAAGCGTATTTTTTGTGATATATTTGAATAAAGGTTTGAAAGTAAGGTGGGCCAATTTTTCCATGACATTTTGCTTTTGTTATTTTTTATCACATTACAGATGATTTTTACATGTAAGGTAATATAAGACATTCACATTTCATTGCGAACATTTGCAATAGTAATGAGACTCCAGTGTAATTCAGTTATTGAAATAATGACATGGGATACTGATCTTAAGAAAGTGTTATAGATACATCCTTCTACATCATGTTAATTTTTGTGTGTACTTCTGAAAGTTACTTTTATTTGAGATGTGTTCCAGACATCATCCAAGTCAACTATAGAAAACGGCATTTAGAAATGATTTTGCGTTGCATTCTTGCAAATGAACATTTTTTGACATTTCCAAATGTTGCCTTTTCAAATTCATAATAAAATGTTTATCGACAAGCTGACTAATCGTTTTAAACCGAAGGATGTGTAAAATAACAACGAAGTGCAGATCGATCAAACCTCTTTAAATTAACATAAGGTGAAAATAGCTTTTCTTTAAATAAATCAGATATATTATCGTAGCACTGTGTGTCGGAAATAAAACTACACAAGGAAACAGCAGACATAAGTATATGTATGAAACGTTTGTATTGAAAAATACAGATAATATTAGAGCATCTACATTTGCAAACCTGTCCTTTACCAGTCCACTAATAAGTAAAAAGTCGAAGTTGACCACTCATGAATTAATGAGAATAATATTATAGTAATAGAATATGATGGTCTCAGTGTTTAACTATATTGTGTAATTTGTAGCAGTCCAGTGTTTAAGGCACACCAGTTATGTAACTCGTTGATTACTTACGATTTCTTATTCTTCCCATTTCTTGCTATACACACATACGTTTGTTCTGCATATATGTTCCCAAACTGTTAGAAGAATATTATAAGAAGTAAGGCTTACGAGACAAGCGGAATCAATGGAACTAGTGATGGCTGCCTTCTAACAGGACAAGCACCACTGAAAAAAAAAACTGGAAAAGGGGAAATATTGATATCAAATATTCTTTGTCCACATTCTTTGTCTGCAATTTGAGTTGGAAGCATATTCCTTGGCTGTTATGAAATATTGGACCTCGAGCTGAAGTTATGCTTTTTGTTTGACGGAGTTCAGATATCTGCAAGATATATTATTTTTGATTGGTTATATATTATGGTTTCATTCTGCCTCAAGTTATAGCTTTACTGGTGGTAAACACTCCCAGGACTTGAACCAAATGTCGTCTATATTGCAGAGTTTTCGACAGAAATATATATAATTGTGGTATTAAGTGGGTGTATTCGGACACGTTTGCAATGCTGTAAAAAAGTGATTATATTTGGGAAAAATCTAAAATTTGCAAATCAGAGTTGTATTATATGCTTATTTTAGAATATAGTTTTATCATAATTAACTCCACCTCACTACAGGATGGAGTTGCTTGCAATAAATTGCAATGCATCATTGGTATATTTTTATTAACTCGCTCAGTCTAATAAAGTGTTTTCAAGAATGCATTCATCAAATCACTTTAAAATTCTTACATAGGATAGTTCGGGTTATCACAGTAACATTATATCATGATAAATCCGTAGCAAGTGTTATTATCATGTATGGTGAATATATATCGACTTATTTTAGTTGACTCAGTATTTGCAGAGAATCAGATTTTTGAGGCATTTTCTCATCAATGATTTCCTAATGTGCTTGAGTACCTTTGGGTGTAGCATTTTATTATGCTGGTGATTAATAAAAAGTTACCAAGATGTTTTGAATTTTTTTAAATCGTAAACCAAAGGTAAACAAGCAGCTTTTCTCTTTTCAAATACAGGTCGCAACGGACGTTAAATTGCCAATTTTGTACCTCATTGATTGTATAGTGAAGAACGTCGGAGAAACATACACGGGCTTATTTAGTCAGAACATTGTGTCTACATTTTGCACAGTTTTCAAGAAAGTAAGTATCTCTTCTGCTTTGGTTGCATGTATCGTACTCACAATAATAGTTTTAGTATAATAAAAAGAATTGTTTTATAGACAAAACTTAATTTGGAACTATTTTTCGATTCCTTTGCCTTTAAATATTGCTGAATGTGGTGATAGCGTTAAGTATTTGCTATACTAAATCAATACTCTAATGGGACTTCATAATACCTATTACTTTTAAGTTAATTTCAGGAAATACTATTTATCGTTCGAACATTTCAATTTCATTTTATCAAATTCCGTACTTCTTCTAGATGATATATTCGAATTATTGGACAAACTCTTTTCTGCATGCACTATTTCTTCTCACTTATTTCACTAATCTAATCATATTTGTCTTGTTATTATTGGCCCTTCTTTCTAAGGTGGATGAAAAGACCCGATTGGAAATGTTCAAACTACGACAAACATGGAACGACGTTTTCCCACAAATGAAGCTGTATGCTATCGATGTTCAAATTCATCAGATCGACCCTGCCTGGCCAGTAACTGCCCAACCAACAAATAGTATTCATCTGAACCCCAAGTTTCTCAAGACTACTGTAAGTTTTGATTCTCCTTTTTGTGGATTGCCAATCCATAACAGTATTGTACTATTTTCAGCCTGCCACAACTAAGAGTAAAGTTGCTGCTGCCTCTCCAATAGAAGTTGTTACTCCAACAGCTCCTGTATTGCCAACCAAGCCGGTTTCCGCAGATTTGGACAAAGAAACTCGACTGATGCAGGAGCAGTTGATGCAAAAACAGAAGGAGTTATTAGAGCTACAAAGAAAGACCTTGGAACTGGAAGTGTTGCAAACGCAAGTGAAGTTGCAAGAGCAGATGAAGGCTGGAGGAGTGCCTTCTGTGGCCACAGTAAGTTTAGGAACCTTTCTTCTCCACGCGTTTCTTATTTTGAATGTATTTCCCCCCATCAATTGTTTATATTACAGTCAGAACATGCAAAAAAATGGCATAATATAGCTAATATCTATATATAAAGATATAATTCCTATACATATGCCATAGACTGCTGATAACACTAAATATGAAAATAATAGTTACCAAGGCTATTATCAATATTTTCAACTTTCGCAAATGTGAATATTTTTAGTTGTATGGTAGGACAAAAATGTAAATATCATGTATTCGTTATTTGCAGAACATTTTATTGAAACCGGAAGTTGCCAAGCAGTTCCTTCCAGATGCAGTTGGGAAACCTAGGCCAACAGACATGGTAAATGAATTAATATTTCTTCCCGTAATCCTAAAAATCCCTTCCCGTAATCCTTAAAAGTGGAAATTTTGAGAGAGTTGAGAAACTTAAAAATTGTATTAATAATTTATTTGGATTGCAATTTTTTAAACTTAACTGTTTTTCAGATAAATTCCTTGGTTCAAAAACCCCATACCAACCAATTAAAGATTAATCCAGTGAACTCAGCTTTGGCTGCAGCTAGGCCAATCAGAGATCCACGTTTGTTACGTCAACAACAAGATAAACAAACATTGGATAATTTATCTCAACAAACCACCGGTAGTGCTGGCATGCTTCCCAACAGTACAGTTCTTGACACCAATAAACATATAACTAATAAAGTAGGTGTTAGAAATTTTAGCAAAGATCCTCGTTTGTCCAGTAGGAATGACAAGAAAAATAGAAATGCTAGTAAAACGCGCGATGATTCTTCGCTTATTCGCGACTCGGATCCTAGTCAAAAAGTCGACAAAAACTCTCGTGCCGACTTTGATAAATCTATAAACGATTCGAGGTTTACTTCCAGCTCCAACAGCAATTTATCTAGTGCTAGTTCTAACAATTTACATCCAATGTCTAAAAATAAACGGGTACCTGGTAAAAATCGGAAAAGGGACAAACCAGAAACAAAACGGAATCACGATTTTGACACGACCACCTTTCCGAATAAACGCGAAAAGGTGTCCCCCAAGGAGGAGGAGAAACGCTCCAGTGACTCGAAACAGACATCTTCCACTTTTAAAAATGTAAAGGGTAAGAGTCGCAATTATGTCAGGCGCAATTTGGTGGACAGCCCCCCGGTGCAGCAGGATGATGATGACCTCACAGCTTCATCTAATCAGTCAGACAAGAATGACAAAAATTCGTCTGCAGAGAATCTAATAGTGAAGCAGAAGTGTAAGTTTTCTTTTTTATATTTACAAGAATTTTTCGAATATTCGAATACTTTACATTCCTCTCACCGATTTCAATTTTTGGGCAAAATGTAAAACAACTATTCTAAACTTGAAAAGAGCTGAAATTGAAACAAATGTATTTGGTTTTTATTAGTACCAATTTATTTGAGTATTAGTTTTTTATATTGGAGAGTTGTGTTTTGTTTATATAATTATCTTAATGTTATAGCCCCCGAAGCAAGCACACATGTTTCACCAATTAGTTCCATGGATGTCGACTTACGGAAGTCAGCACTAACTTCAACCAAGAAGAGATCGTCTGAAACATCGGAGCCACCGGCGAAGAGAAAAAGCTTTGATGTGTAAGTGTGATTATTATTGTGAAAACTTCCCCTTCTTTTCTTCCCAACAAAGTCTTTATCAATTATTTTTTCGCAGGCTGTTTGGGAGCGAAGATACCGACTTGCGACAGCTACCTATGCACGCTGATTCTGAACGGAAAGCTACCGTTATAGAGCGACCGCCTACGCCCCCACCGCCAATCATATCCTCCAAGAAGGATGCAACCGTCGTTCAGGAGATGACATCTTTAGCTCCCAAGAAAAGTAACTTCGATGCCGTCAGAGCCAAGCTAGCGAATGCTACCAATCGGGAGAAAGTGATGAACAAGTCATGTAAGTTTTTATTAATATTCTACCAACAATATGTGCGTTATTATATGTTATGCATAATAGTAAATTTTTTAAATGCAATTTTGTTCGTACCGGAAATCCATGGACTTCGAAAATGCTTCCAAGAATATTCGTATGAGAAAAGACACCAATGCTCGTATTTTTGAATGAATCTCAAATCAAGAGTTAGCTCGCGCTGCACAAGGTCGAGGTCGTTCTTAAGCCCGATCTTCGTTCTATATCGAGTTTCGCTTTACAATACGCAAGTCTTGGCCATTCTCGTTCTTGAGACTCTAATGCCCCGTATAAACCGGTTGGAAACGATACTCAAGCCAATACTCGGCTCATGCTCCGCGAAGTACGAGATCGTCCTCAACCGACAGATCGATTTATAAATAGTATTTCGTGAATTCTCGGCGAAGTATCGGTCGAGTATAGATTGTTAGTATCTGTGAATTCAATCTACATCTGTCAATTCAAATTAATGTTTAAAAATTTAATTTTACTTCGTTTTCGTCAAAGTTCCGGAGTTCATATCTAGGTAAGGTTTCGGTACCACTCAGGGATCGGTCCGAATCCATTGAGAATACTTATGTTATGAAATATTCGTTTATATTATGTTATGAAATATGGTCTGAAACCCAAAATCTTCGTGTATTTTAACTTTCCCTGTTGTGGCTAATCCATAATAATAAAAACAGATCCACTTTTTTAATCCTATTTTGTCGTAAAAGGGTAGTTTTCATTATTAAAACTTACAATAAATTCAACATAAAATATAATATGTAAACAATTAAAACATTTTTTAACTTGACGAATTGACAGATCACCCAACCAATAGAAACACTTTCGTAACATCGTATCATAGTACAAACGGATGCATGGGACACGGGCTTTCGGCCCCAGAAATTAAACAAAATGCAATGTTGGCACTTATTTTACCCATGCATAATACTTGCACTTTTCGACAAGGGAAATTTCCTTTAAATAACAGGCATAAAGTATATAAATAAAATAAAGTAAATTTTTAATATATTGTATATTAGGAAATATTTTCCTAAGGAGAAAATATGAACATTTAAATGTCGTAGTCGTTGTTGTCTAGTTGTTCGTAGTCGGCTTATAGTCGCCAAATAGTATTCATTAATTAGGATATATTTTCAATTCTGTATATTATTTTACAACTTAACATGATTTTGTTTAGCACTTCGTGTTAACAGCATTTGTTTTTACGGTTATTTATCTCATAACTGAAAATACACAATTACTGTTGGTGTTTGCGGAAGCACAGTTTCTTTGAAAAATCAAATATCTGAATTAAAGGTGAACCTACATCGATCCAAATTCAACGCATCTTTAAACTTAAACTAACAGCACTCGCACGAAAGTATACTATTCCATTTACATATAACTCTTTTGTGCAGTCTGGTAACACTGCACAAAGTATGACGTAAATATGCCATACTTTGTGCGCAATATGGAGGTTTTATCAGAGTTTGTAAATGTTTTCTAGCATGATTCTAGGGACCATCCGCATTTTTTAGCTGAATGTGTTTTATTTTCAGTATGATTTAAGGAAAAATTAGAAAGAATGCCAAAATCCGACAGACATAAAGTACATGAGCTCCAAGTTGAAATAACTGTTAATACCTGGAAATTTTCGGAAAAAAATGTCAATATTTGTATCGTACTCTCCAAGATAGCCCCTACTATCCTTTCAAAAGAACGACGCCAATTTTGAATCACCTTGTATATGAGTAGCGTGCGCAATATAATATCAGGAAAAGAGTAGTCAAGAATGTATTTTGTGTTATACTTATTTAGTTTGTAATAAACGACCAGCAAATAATACTGAAATAAAACGCATTAAAATTTAAAATTGAAAAATTCATCAGAATTTAAGGTGATAATTACAATAACATCATGAACACCAATGAGGGGAATAATTTTTAATAAAATTAAAGTGATAAACGTGTGACATCCCTTGCCATTTATAAACAGTGACCAGTGTTGTATTTGATCCCTTAAGTAGAGCCATAGTTGAACCCTATTAAACGTGCCTAACTGCTTAAAAATATTACACTGCGTTCCTGTTATAACATTTTGGATTTCAATCATATAATGTAATGTTTGTAAATATATTTTCCATGCATGCCGCTCGATATAAATCAATGTTGATCCCAAGCAAATCGAGATTTATGATAGACTAGCTACGTCTATCTATCAAAGTTTTTGAGACTATATTTTACAAAGTTTATAAACTATATGTCGTTACAAACACCCAGGATGATCCCCCTGTACGCGAACATATGAATAGAACCGATAACCGATGAACAAATGAAGCAAGTTTCGTTTCGATTCGTTCGCTCATCGAGTAATGAAACTAATATATCAGACTATGAAGGCTTTCACGGCCGGTTAAATTACATTCCAGGAAGAAATTCCGATAGACCACGGCTTCAAAGCCCGGAAAACATTCCTAAATGTAATGAAACTAATATACATCGCGAAACGATGATGATAGTCAATATTATTACAGACACAAAGCTATTTTACTTTTTTATCATAATATTATATTAGTAATTTATTTCTGTGCATTATTTAAATGCTAAATCTTATAGAGCAATTTTTGTTTCAGTCCATAAAAACAAGATCCAACAAACTTCAACTGATAAAGATTTGCGACCAATAAGTCTTCAGATATCATCTGAAGACGAGAAGGCAATTCGATCTGGTCATATGACAAGTGAGCAAGAGAAGCAATTCCTGAATAAATTCTTGAGCCAAATCGAGCAAGATAAATTGCGTCAAGCTAAGAAAAAAGATCACGAAGAAGCGTTAGTTGATATGTCTCTTCAAGAGATCAGTGATGAAGATTTCGGCTCGGATTCAGAAGATAGCCCAAAGGCTTCTTTATCTCATCGTGCGATTCCATTCAATGATAAAGATGAGAGGTTGCGCATGCATATGCCAGGCCCGATGGGTCAAGTGCAACGTGCCGATAGTGTGTCATCCACATCAGACAATGGATCTTACATGTCAAAAGGAGATAATCGGCGAACTCGTTTTAGAGGCGGGAGTGATTGGAGAGGAAGAGGCCGTGTACCTCTTCAAGGTCCTCAACCAAGACCACCAATAAGACCGTGGTTACATCAGCAGCAACATCCTAGATGGGGAGGATCTTTTCCTGATGACTCTTCCAGAAGTCCAATCGCAATAAGTCCGAGTGAAGACTTGGAAATGACAATAGTACACGAGGAAAATAAAACACTGAACATTGACGGAATTCCTAGAGACATTCGAATCTATAATGAAACCGCCATTATTTTCATCAACTATGATGACCCTCGTGAAATTTCGTTCCAAAGCGGTGCGCGAAGAGTGATTTTTAACAACAAAGAGACGTATTTACTAATGTTTGGGAACGATTACACGGAGTGTACAATAAACAATTTTCCATTCCGCGTGAAGCTTGGAGTTCCTAGCCGCGAAATATTTATTAACGATCTCGGGTTTGAATGCTTTTTTGGTGGACCACCAGTTCACATCTGTGTGAGCAGCATTAATATGACAGTGCAATTAGACGGACCTCTTCCTCAAGTCAAAATAGGAGAGGTCAAGAGAACCGATCTTGTGGTCGGCAAAATCAATCTCATCATCAACGCGACCCTAATGATCCCCGTGTTTCTCGACGGCAAATTGCAAACGTTCATGGTGGAAGGCGAGCCGTGTACAATAAAATTTGTAGATGCATTGAAAAGGGTGTTAATAAATGATGTGCCATTTAATGTTGAATTTGGTGGTCTCCCTAAACCTTGTATTATACACGGCAAAAAACATTTTATACGGTTTTCAGTTTTGCCAAAAGGCATCAGACCTGGGTTTGTTCGAATTAAAGACATGGAAGGGGAAGAAGGTTCCAGCCCGGTTCGAGATGAAACCAACATTCAACCTGTACTATCTGGGCCTTTAGAGGCTGAACCTTTGCGGCCTGATACCAGTAAATTGAATCAAGCGAGGGGACATCAGTCTCCAGATAATGGACGTAATTCCCCAGGCTTCTTCAACAATATATTGCAAACCGGTTTAGGTAAGTTACGATTGCTGTATGAGACTACTACACAAATTAGCTGTATTTGTACTTGCCATTTGACTGATTATCATTGAAAACATATAAAATACATAGAATTGTGGTGTGTGTGGTACACATGCATGGATTTAGTCGGGAAAATTCTATTTGTACACCAATCAAGTATGTTTTGAACAAAATTGCAATACTGGCACGCCAGTTTCATTTTCATTCTGAACATTAATTTCATGGTAGAATAGTGTGCGGTATGTCCATCCATCCATACGAATTTTGTTAGGATTTCAAATGCCTGTTCTCGTTGATCTCTACTTTTGTAAGCAGTACTATGTATCCCATAAGCAGGGATCAGATTGAGAAAATATCATTGTATTCCAGATATTTCCTGTTTTTTGAAATTCAACCAAAACTGACATCACTTTATATTTCGTTACTATTACTTTATTTTGATTTATTTTCCTGACTTCGGTTACTATTACTTTTATGCAACATTACGCAGAAAAAGTTTCTTTTGTATTTTAGTTTTGGCATTGGTGCTGGTTCAAAATCTCATCAACAGATTATGAATGTATGCTTTATATTAAGAACACACACATTTTAATACACATTATTTATAACTGAATTTTTATCTATCTTTTGCTTAATACTGTAGCAAAGGATTGATAGTTATCTTGATGCCCATAAGCACAAAATTAGCACCTTCTTCTGCAATCTGAAATGGTAAAATAACTATTTCTTAAACAGTAAATATGTTTTCGCCAGTTAGCTGAAATAAGTACAATTTTTCCACCATATAATACCGTTTTGTCACAATTTATTGACTTAAAACAACACATAGCAAAAAATTGCATTATATTATTTAATTAGCAAAAAAATTGGTATCTATCAATCTGATAAAAATTAATCCGGTCTTTTTTCCAAATTATATTTTGCGGTATAATTATTATGTCATCATGGCGGTACACCCTTTGAGAATATGTAAAATGTGTATTGAACAGACGCGTCTTTATGCAAGCGAGGTGGTATTTGCAACATACATTCCTTTAACAGGTGGCAAACGGAGAATCTACATGCTTTTAGGCATCAATTTACAATCAACGTTTATACAGGGATAGTCAACCACAATATTATATGACCAGTAAAATTACCTGAACACTTTAATGCTATATGTGCAACATTTGCAAAATCAACTTTCAGAATTACTCCAAGACCAATATTATTGCTGTATAAGAGTATATAGAGTATAAGTGTGGTTTCAACATGACGGTTGCCATGTCCACTATGCTCATCAATTGATTATAAGAGAACACCTAAACAACGTTTTTGCACATAGATGTGCGAGTGGACTTCAAGGTCGTATTTTGTGGCCACTACACTCGCCGGATTTAAGTCCACTAAATTTTTATTGGGGCTGTCCGAAAGAAAAGTTTACTTCCGGCCTACAGGCACTCGCGAAGAGGTACGGCAAAGGGCTTTTAGAGCAGCGCAGGGAATTAGCCAAGCTCAACGTGGCTCAATACAAAGATGCCGAGTCTGCCGCCAATGGGGCTCACTTTGAACATTTACTTTCAGTTTTTCTCGTTATTTGGAATAATATTTTGTACTGTTATGTATGGGAAAAATTGTACATGCCTCAGATAACCGACTACTTTTTGTGTTTATCGACATCTAGATAGCTATCCATCCATTGCTACAGTATGAAGCAAAAGATAAATAATAAAAATGGAGTTACAAGGAATGTGTAATGAAATATATATTTTTAAATGCAAAGCAAACATTCAAAATCTGTTGATGGACTTTTGACCTGCGACCATTTCCGAAACTAAAATATTAGTACGAAATATCAAATGATGGGAGTTTTGGTCGATTTTCAAAAAAGTTTAAATATCTCAAAAAGCATAATATTTTTATTAGTACTATTCTTTCATTTTCTGACTTCTCAAGGATGGACCTTTCAACAGGCGATGTATTGTCGCATGTTTACGGGACACACTGTATATTATAATATATATAGTGTGCCCAGGATACGCTTTGAGATTTCAGAAACCGTCACTGATTGCATTGGGATGTAATATTAAAGCATTATTACACCAGAGAAATAATTCCTGTTGGTTCTGAAGAGCTGCGGATTAAAGCCAAAATTGGTGATTTTGTTCTTGGCAACATTTTAATTTAGTACCTATGTGTGATTACTTAGTGACACTAACATCGACATTTCTAATTCTAACTAAAGCTTATGCGTTTATTAGAGAATCTCCTTTGAAAGCGCCTATTATTAAGCGTTTTAGTACGAGTTCAGTTTAAAAAGTAAGCCCGTTAAAATGATCTAAAACTCGATATGGTTAAAATATTTCAATTATAAGTAGAATTTACACAAATTTATGAAAGCAAACGCTTTAAATTAGCAATAATTGCAACCTGACAATATTTAACATTTTTTAGGTAACCTTGACGTTATATCTAATGTGTTATCGCAATCGCTTACGCCAGCTCCTTCCACTGGAGGCTACCAAGTGGAACTTCCAGGTCTTGAACCAAGTGCTACCCCGGCAGTGAGTAGCACTTCCACTATCAACGTACCAGCGCCCAACCCCACGCTCAATATAAATGAGTTGTTTCAAAAATTGGTCGATTCCGGGTTTCTCACTACTCAGGACAATAAGCAATCTGATGTCGCGATTACCAATCCACCTGTTTTTTCCGTTCCACAACTTACACTTCCGAAAGAAGTCGCTTCGTTTGTAGGTAATGGAAAAGGTAAGTACTCTTTTGCGTGGTTTGATAATTTTGATAATGACGTTCCTGTTCAACTTGAAGGAGTTCAGAAGCCCTACGGTTTTCAAGATCAGACCTCATCGAAACCCCAAAAGCGTAACATATCAACTGCATTGAAGCCGGTTAGTTTTGGTAGACCGGAAACCTTAAAGATTCGGCAGGGTGCTTTATATGCTAAACTTTATACTGGCATGCAATGCTCAAGTTGTGGTATGCGATTTTCGCCAGAGGCCAGCATGTGGTACAGTCAGCATTTAGATTGGCATTTCCGACAAAATCGCAAGGGAAAAAAGAATGCACGAGTCGCAAACAGCCGAAAATGGTACTATTCATTGGCAGATTGGAAAAACTACGAGGAGTTGGAAGATTTGGAAGAAAGAGGTGAAAAAAATGACAATAAATATTTGTCAGTTTCATTTTTTGCAGTATGTAAGTCATTTCAACATTAATTATTTTTGCAGAGAAAAATTATTTCGATCAACAACAACAAGTAGAGGTGGCCGAAGAAGCTGAAGAAGAAGTGGAAATTCCCAGCGTAACTGCAGACCCTGGGACTACCGACGAACGTTGTTACGTATGCAGGTAATTACCGATTTTTAAAGAACTGAGTACTTATAATTTATCCGATTCGAGTTTCTTGATATTTATCGATTATGTTTAATCTAGGGATGTTTTCGAGCAATTCTTCAACGAAGAAAAAGAAGAATGGCATTTGCGGAATTCTGTGAGAATTGATGAAAAAACGTATCATCCAATCTGCTATGAAGACCATCAAGTAAGTTTTTCAATGCGGTATTGATAACTGACTTCACACTTCAACAAAACGATTTTAAATAATGTTTTCCTGATTAGCACCTGTACATTTTTAGTAATGTTCGTGAATCGCGTACAGTGTTTCTATGTAAACATTAGTGTAGTATTTTAGTCATATAATTAAATTTGATAGAAATCGAGTATGGACCAAAGTAGGACTGAGGACGAGACTCCTAGTAAACTGATTCCCGGTTTAGAAATTGTTTTGGATGATGATGATGAAGAACTTCCTGGAACCCTTGATGAAGTAGTATCGCTAATGGATGACGCTGAGGAGACTGTACCTGAAGATGCACCTAGTCCAGTAAAAGATGAAGGTAAGATTTTATAGAGAAAAAATTCGAACATTATCTTTCACCGATTGTTCTCATCCAACTCCAACATTTACAGGGTGTCCCAAACACCTGACAAAACAACCTATATTTTATTTCAGTTTCGAATTGACATGTAAATTTCAATTACTTTTTTTTATGTCTATAAAGTACGAATGAAAATGGATTGTTTTTTAGTTATTCTGTTTTAACTATAAACATTCGTATTTTACTATATTAATATTTGGTTTGGAAAATATTTGTATTTGAAACTAATTTTCAAACTGAAAAGAGATAGATAGCACTTAGATAGCAAGTGTGTTTTATTCAGAATAAGAAAACCTTTTATTTTTCTATCTGTTTTCGTTTTATAAATTAATTTTTTTTTAATTCCTCAATTATATTTGGCAGGTTACAACATTTGATTGCGGTTGGCTTTAGAAACAAATACACTTAAATGTATGTACTTAGATACTTAAAAATTTACGTTTATTAATATAATATTAATTTGAGAAAGAAATTATAATATTTAATAGAAAGAAATACCTTAAGACGCAAATACGACAAATTAATAAATAGTTAATAATAGAAGTAGCCAAATAAAATTGCAAAAATTAAAGCTGTCAGCAATAAAACTTTTTTCAGCTTTATTTTGCAGCAAAACATTAAAAAAATCAAAAATGAAGCCCTACACACGAAAAAATTTACGTAGTCAAAAAGGAGGTCGCGTATTTGAACATTTTTTAAAGCATACCTAATATGTATACAGGGTGATTTACCTAGACCGTGCATTAGAAGTTTTCCAACTTATAGTTGTTTTGGAAACTTCAGCCCTCTCGACAGGGGTTATTTTACGTTATCAAGCCGCACGAACGAAAGTGCTCAAAGTACTTGTCTACTGATTACTGGAGAATTCTTATTTATCTCGTTTCGATATGGCCCGCATATGCTGCTAGTCGCAGCTACGATATACGGATTTCGATATTTGAACAAAGCAAAACGGCAAATGCCTGCCTTATGATTACTACCAGATTGCATGAAAAATTCGTCGTCGAAGAAGGCCAAAAACTAACTTAAATGGTTTTGTCAGCCCTTGCATACATAAAGGCACAACAGTCATTCGGTCATAACTTATGGCTGACCCAGCAGCTTCGAAACCAATCACAGATACTTGTGAGACAAATAGGCTTTACAAGAATAAAACATGTTGCCACTTAATTCATTCCTTTCATGAAAACAACGCAAGTCCGGAGTCTGTCACTGTATCAATATAATAAATGTCGAAAAATCAGTTTTTTTAAATGGCACCTCCAAACTTTTTTCATCCTGTTTGAAAATTTTGCTATGATTAAACAATAAGAAACTAAACTAAACAGATCCAAAAAAGTTAGTAGGTGCCGTTAAAAGACTAATTTCTTGACATTTTTTATGTCAATGTTTGTAGACTGCAAGCACCCATATGCTGCAAAATGGGTACCCTAGTGTTATCTGAGCAGTTAGCTTGGGCTTTCAGGTAACTACCTACCAAATTTGGGGTTTGAATTTAGAACTGTGCCTTAGATACATAGAGCTGGTTCCATAAACATCTGTAATTGATTTTTTTCTTAAACAATTGACATATCAAAATCTGTACGAGATAAGTTAGTAAAACTAGGGTTACCCAAACTATCAATTGGGAGACTAATCCAACCGTGATAAAAAAATTGGGGTTTGTATTCAAAATAAGAAAGTTAGGTTCTAGTTGTCGCACACCCTGTATAGCTAGCGGGGGCTAAATGCAATTCACTTGGTTTCGTCACGACTCGGTTATGACCGGACACAAAATTTGAAGTTTCTAAAACAACTGCAAGTTGGAAAACTTCTATTGCACGGTCTACGTAAATCATATGACGTATTTATAATTTGTTTTGTTTTATTTTTTCAGCATTCTTTCCGTTAAATCGTGTTAAATTATTATCAAATTGATATTATTTTATTATAGTAAATAAATGTTATCTATTTATTATCAAGACTAAGCAATTGTTTGTCAAGGCTATTGCGATCCAATGTTGTAGTGACTTAGCAAATATAATGCAAGGAAGGGAATATGGATTAATATTTATAAAATTTTGTCGAAATTCGATTAAAGTCCTTTTCAACAAGAAATGCGACTCAATTTAAGTAGCACATACATATTTCCTTATAGGAGAAACGAAATTAATTATTCGAGTGGCTGCATCTACAAATTTATCATAATTACAGTTTGTCAGATATCGATCGCGGCGGTTTCCGGTGGGACACCCCGTATAATGGTGCCACTAGAAAAAAGTTGTTTTTTTTACTTTTCAGAAGCACTGTATAAGTATGAATATTTTTAAAGTATGCGTTTAGTACCTTTACAATATGACGAGAATTTAGAAACAAATAATCCTGGTTAAGCGTAAACTTACTTTACTCTATCGTTGGAACACCCTGTATATACTTTAATTCATAAGATGGAAAAAGTGATAATCGGAGTCAAACCTATGATGGTAAAAGAAATACTTGACACTATTTCTGTTGCAGAAGTGAAAGAAGATGATGATGATGATGACGTTATTTTAAATGAAGTCGCACCTATCAAGATAGTTGTTGATGATGACGATGACGATGAAGAACTTCCGGCCGAGAAGAACTTTAGCAGTCAGCCTGTTGTCATTAAGAAGGAAAAGAATCTTGAATATGATGACGGTTTTATGGATGTAGGCGAGATCGTATCTTTGCAAGGTGTGGGACAAGTTAAAATTAAGAGTGAACCTGTAGATGACGGTAAGTCCTTTAAAGTTCATTTGAATTAAATTTTGCATATTTCAATTATTTTGAACATTTCAGATATGCAACCACCTTCTTTGAACACGGACGAGCACAACTTAGTAGAAGAAGATCCTATCGATCTAAATGTCGATAATGAAGAAGTGTCTGTTTCGAAACCGGTGAGATCCCGTCCTGAACTGATCGCCTCCATGGATGGGAATGTGGAACTAGTAGCGACTACCCCAATGCCAGTGCCCACAACAAGTTCCGGAGGCCCGAAAATCAAAATAAACATTTCGAAGCCATTGCCTGTGATAACTCCTAAAGACATTAGTACTGGTTCTAGTGATAGTGATGTAAGTAAGTCCATCGAAGTTCCTATGGAGGAACCGGAGATCCTTAGGTATAAACCTGCGCTGCAGAATGTACCTTTAAAGAAAATGCCTCCAGTGAAAAAAGGTCATGAAATGATGGGGTTGTGCTCTATTATGTGAAATTATGGTACCAAAATAATTGTTTTGTGTGGAAAATATATTGTTATCAATTTTTGTATTACTATCGATCGCATCACTGTAAATTTATTGTCCCACACCTACAGTAGCAAATTATAACAATAAAATATTAATTAATATTAGTATATTGGTTTTATTAGTTTAGCTACTAAGCTCATCAGTCCTGCACTTGCAATCTTTTTAAAACTGCTCAAAAAGTTATTAAAAATTAAAAAATGGTTAATATAGCAATTGTACAGGTTCAAGAAAGTGTAAATGCGCGGGGCCAAAAAAATATTCATAACTTTGCGCCTGGCACAAAATTAAAAAAGGTATTTTTTTTCAGGTAGGTTACTTAATAATTGCATTATGCAAAATCTGTTTGTCCTATCTTAATCGACCTTGCGGCTCTCGTTTTGTATTGCAGTCAAGTAATTTTCTCTGAATGTATGGCGTGATTCGGTAATTTTTTCAATGTTAAATAAATAATTTAAGATTACCTTGTTTTTACGGATTTTTTCGCACTTTCGAGCTTTTTGCAACAAACATTTGAAATCTACGCATATCGGAGCAACTCTATCTTGTAGACAATTTCATAATGAACAAATTTATAAAATTTATAAATTTTTTCTCTAAAATGCATACTAGGTGCCGAGTTGTATGCGATTGTTTCAGAGAAAAAACGGATTTTTTTCACTTTTTCGTTGTTTATGCAAATAGTACACCTTTTCAAGCTGGCGCACCGCGATATTTTCAGTAGGTATACCATTCCCAAGCGATTCCAAAATTATTGTTTTCGCTGCATGGAGAATATCGACTGTATCAAAACAATAACTCTTTCGCAACCATTGCTTGAAACGGGGAACTAGTAACTTGAGAATATGTATTCCTTTCAATCGACTAACATATTTGTACACACCACACACTCGTAAAGGCCTGGTATGCACTTATAAAAGTCCGACTTTTAAACAACTGTATGTTTAACGTATATCTGTGCTTCCACAAAGATATTTGAACGTATGATGACTACTAGGTACCCTCGAGAATACCATGAATGTTCTAACTTGTTACAAGTAGTAAGTTAATCCATTCCAGGTGCGCAGAAAAGTGCTATAAAAGTACGGTAGTTTATTAGTGTGCTACTTCTACCTCTAACTTTTGGTGTGAAAAGGTTTATGAAAAAAATTATCTCATAAAAGAACCGGAGTATCACATCACACACGTTCACGTCCAACACATATGTTATAGAATAAGGCTTATGTCACACGCATCATAGATATAGACAAGTCTCACGTCATTTTAATTTAGTAAGTGAGGTTAGGGCAGAGACAAGTCAGGGAGGAGAAGAAGAAGCCATGAATAACAGATAAAAATGTTAAACTGAGGGGCAAATAACTGTAACTAAATATAGGTGTTATTTAATCTAATCTAAATATAGGTGTTATTAAATCTGCTTCCAACTTTAGTTTTTCTAATTCTAAGATAAAAGCGAAGAATGCTATTAGATAACAAAATTAACATTGAAAATTCTTTTTTTCTGGATGTGTTGATGCCCCTCAGATGAAACGCCTCTATTCCACCGTATTTCTGGTTGCATGTAGAGTAAATATAAGTGAATTGTCATTTATTTATTTTTATTAGTGCCAAAGCTGCCAAATACTCAGTAACGTTCGAATTGCTCAAAACCAACTTAATTCCAAGATTTCGAAATCCTCACAATTAAGATAAATTATTTCAATCGTAATTTGATCAACGTCATTAAGGAGTAATCAGAAGAGATTCTTATCGAAATAACCGACTAGTTTTCTGTGGTGCAGTCTGGAATGTGAATCAGAGTCTATTATTGGACTTTGGATTTATTTTTAATAGCTCATTTTACCTGTTTTCTACCACTCAAAGCCGTTCTTCAGTTTGGGCAAATTCGTTGTTGGAGGCTCCTCTATCATGTCAGACAATCCAGAAAACCGCGATGGAATTGGAAGGAAATGGTACAGAAAGGCTACACAGCGGTAAGTGGAACGATCATTTATTCATTTTAACTTTTAATTTAATTTATTAATTAGTTATCTTTTCTCACAATGTCTTGAAATTACTTTTAATTGTATTTATACTTGATTAAACACATCGATCATTAGGAGTTATTCAGATAACTTGCAATGCAATTTGCAAAATTGGATTATTTACTAATGTATTCCTCAGTATATGGTGATTTCTAGAAATGGCTATGAATACTGGGTTAAGATATTTACAACTTGCAACTCAATCATAATTAATTGCCTCCTACACGAAGATGCTACGTACCTAAGTTTAATAACATCACTTTATTCTTAATTAATCTACCTGTACATATAGCCAAGTGAAATGATTGGTTGTAATTTGGAAACGCAGCTACTTAATTGCAGTTAATTTTTATTAATTATATTTTCGCAGCATCCAGATGTTATTTAAGTAATAAAGTTCAAATGCCTGAAGGTTGTGTACGTGTCTGTACTTAAGTTTGAAAAATCAAGTTTTAACATTATTTGAAACTCTAAGTGCCACTTTTTCGCTTCTCATATATAGAAACAATACATAGTTTCCAGATAACACGGTACAATTTTTATAAACCAGTTTTTCGGGAAATGTATATTACATTTCAATAAAACATGAAACCTATTCCTCACTACTTGGGAAGTGTTTTGCCTCTACTTTGCATACACTTACTTACTACTTGTATCTCTACTCTGTGTGTGTTTAGTGTCTTTTGATGGTCATGGGATGGGTTTTCGGGAAACTTAACAATTGAATAAACATTTCCATGTTTATTTCTGAGAAATGATGACATATATTTTCTTAATACCATATAGGTACTCTGTACTACATTGAAGGAATTTTGGCCCCTCCCATAGCTTGAATTTCCTATGAGCAATAAATAATTAAACACTTTAAAATTTGCCTAAAAAATATAGCAATTAAGTATAAAATAGACCCTCAGAAAAGTCTCTCCGACGTCTCAAAAAAAACTTATTGAGGGACTGGCAAGAGCCCTTTTTGCATAACAATTAAATGAACAAAAAGTTATGACTATTTTAAACTAAAATTAATTCGACCACTCATGAAGTGTACAAGCACCTCCAAAAAAAGTTATAGTTCGATTTTTTATAAGCAAAACTAAATTAATTATGCTACAAAATAAAAAAAAAACGCTAAAATTTACGTTATTTTTGTTTTTCAGTAAACAAATGAACGTATTTTAATTTAGTTTGTATCATATTGTATGTATTTTTAATACTTGAAAAAATGTTGACCTTTTTTCAATAGCATCAACGGTTCAAAACTTATGCACACAAAACGGTTTTTCGCACTTTCTCTGATTAATTAAGCAATGTTCCACAGCCTGAAAGCGCGCTCAAACTATTGTCCCAATATTCTGACATCTTTCCGAACAACTTCCAATCAGAGACAAGATTGTAGGTAAATCTTGAAAGACATCAGGGTTTAGTATGATCCAGTTATGGCAATTGCTGCTCCATTTTGTTTGTATTTGGAACATTATTTCCGTTATCCTTGCCACGTTTGTTCCGATCGTACAACAGTTCATTTGACGTATTTTTTCAAGATCTACTAAATTTTTCTTTAGTATAGAGGTTACTTTGCAGGACTGCCTTGAGTGGTTGTGAGAATCTCCAGGGTAATATTTCTTCAGATGACACAGAGTACAGGCTTTTGTTTCTTCCCCAAACTTTTTAACGGGTAGATTAAATAGAAGATTAGTAGATTAAAAATACAAATTCCACTTTCCATTGCATGTGAACACGTTTTGGCTACTAGCAGATCGCAGATACGAACAGAACACAATGCTGTTCGTATCTGCGGTCGTTTAAAATTTAAATCTTTATTAATTTATGCAATTTCTAAACGATTTGACATTTGTTAAAAAATCCAAGTGTTATGAAAGAATAACGATTATTGAAAACACTTATACACTTTTTTGTGACAAGTGGTGAATTCTTGAGTGTCTTGGAACTTTCTGTTTGGTGGATGGAATCAACTCGTGTTTTTTTGGTTGATTCACTAATCATGTATTCACAATTTTGTGATCTTTGTAAAATCTTATAGCATTCATAGTTTTTGCACAAAAAAAATGTGTCTGTTTTCTTGCCACTTAACAATGTTACGCACGATGTACGTGCACGGCCTCAATTTTATGGAGATTTCGAATATGGTGCTCGCATCGGGGTATTTATCGCGAATTACGAGAATGGCAAAAGTTTCAAACCCTTATTATATCGCGTCGATAGTATTATCGTACATATTTCAAACATACGTTTTTTTCTGTTACTTTAGGAGAACAAGTTATTTATTATTTACCATTTTTCAAATATGTTGCAAATATTAAACCACGTCCCGCCACTGACTGCTCCAGGGAATTGGCAGCAAAATAGCTGCCTTATATTTCGTGTTGCACAATAAGAGAATATTTTATTATTGTGCCAAGACCAGAGATTATTCATAATAATATTGACTTTTTTGCTAGTCTAAGTTTGCTCAAATTGCCATGTTTTCACATAAGGGCTGTACTGTATTCTATGACCTATTACAAATTTTTCAACCTATTATAAACGCAAGTAATCTTAAAATTGTTGAGCAATTGTTTTGATGCTTCAGACCCCCTAGTTATAGTGAGATAAAATATAATTTTATATTATAAGGAAAGTAGGGGAACTAAGTCAAAAATGTGTCACATATCCTGCTATCAAACGTCTTGAAGCATAAATGGCCGTTTTTCTCGCACATTTACAGGGTGTTTTTTATAGACTTTACGAAAGACAAGTTCAGAATTTGAAAAAGCAACTGAGAATTGTTTTAGATGAAACACTCACATTATAGTATCAGAATCGGAGATAGATAGTCGTTCTTGTGACTTCCTACTCAAAACGGTTTTTTCCTAGATCACTTCATTTCGAAATCTGTAAGGGGGTTTAGCATTAAAAAACACCCGGTAGTATTTCTTTATCAACACCTAAGTTAGATATTAGATTTATAAACGCGCCAATAAGTTTATCGAAATGGGAAGTGATGTCTATTTGTCTTTGCTTGTTTTGTTTCTGTTCATTTTGTAATATATTTTTGTTATTTTTTAAAGTACAATTGATGAGGATGA